CCCCTTATTTTACTGAGGCCCACAGTAACCATACACATTCATATACATATGCAACAAATGAAAGTGTCACAAAAAATTTACCCTCCCTCTGTGGGACACACAGTGAAATTTTCTATTCCATATAGTTTTAAAAAAGTATTTTTTAGTTGTTGATGGACCTTTATTTTATTTATTTGTAGGTGGTGCTGAGAATCGAACCTAGTGCCTCACACAAGCTAGGCAAGCACTCTTCCACTGAGCTACAACCCCAGCCCCAATTCTATAAAATTTGTAAAGTACTGGGTGGGTAGCTTGGTGAACCCACTTCACAAGCTGCCCGTGAACCCAAATGTGTAGTTACAACACATGATTTTTAAACTACTTTTTTCAAACTTTAGTGGAGAGTGTGTGTTAGACCTACCTCACAGACAATCTGAGGAGGAGTTTGGGAATCTGTATTTTTAACAAGCTCCCCAAGGCTCCTGAATCAAAAGGTCCTCAGCTAACACTGCAGACTTGCTGGTCCTTCCCGCTGGTGGATGCTCATGGGGTAGCTGCTTGTTAACAGCTCTGGTTGGACAGATCTCTTTTAAAGACAGATGGTAGTCCCGGAACTGAGGACACCTGGTCACCCTCATCTCCTCCTGTCCCTCCTCTACAGGACACTTCTGTAAAGTGAAGGTAACTGAATGAGGGTCCAGGTGCACAGGTTGGGGAGGGCAGGCCAGCTTGAAGCAAGTGAGGCTGGGAGCTAGAGCTGGGGAGAAAGGAGAGAGGATTCTCACCGCTGAAGCCGGGAGATCTGGTTGGTGAGTCCCCTGAAATCTAGTGCTCCTGATTACAGAATGTCCAGCTGAGCACCATGTTGAGGGGACTTTACAGATAACAGAAACTAAGGTTCATAACTAACTTGCTCAGGTCACACGGATAGTTAAGTCAGATTCAAGCTTGGGCTTGTCAAATTCCATAACTTAGGCCTTCCGTCAGTCTGCTGTACTGGTCTTGTGATGCCCGAGGCTCAGCGACCCTGATCTGGTCTGAGGGATCGGAGGATTTCTGTGATTGCAAGACATGGAACAGGACCACCCTGTGGTTGCTAGGCGACCATGTGAAAGTCAGGTCCAGGAGCAGCAGCTCCCCAGTGAAAGGGTCTGGGCTCGTGAAGAACTTGACCTCACCTGCCTTTGTCTTCCATTCTCTCGTCCCCTCTTGCCACCCCCCTCAGTTGTCCCTTACGAGATCACCCTCTACACCAGCGATGTCTTTGCTGCTGGGACAGATGCCAACATCTTCATCGTCATCTATGGCTGTGATGCTGTGTGCACGCGGCAGAAGTTTCTGTGCACCAACAAGAGGGAGCAGAAGCTGTTCTTTGAGAGGAAGTCTGCCTCCCGCTTCATCGTGGAGGTACCTGGGCTCAGCAAGCTGCCTGCAGAGGTGGCGGGTCAGAGAGGCGGGGAGAGAAGCCTGCCTTGAGGGCAGGACGTGCCCTTCATAGTGGGAGCTGGGCAGCTCATCCAGTGTCTCTGGGCTTCAGAACCTCCCACCAACCAAGAGGACGGTGAAGCTGGCTCTGGCCCTCCAGGACTGGGGTCAGGACCAGAGGCAATGAATGGCTAGGACATGGGAAAATGAGAGAAATGATGGCAACAGGTTGTCTCCCGTGAGTCCACCACAAAACTCAGGTCTATAGTTGGAGCAAGGCTTCTGGGCAGGCTGGTCTGGGGGATCTGAGGGGTGGCATACAAATCTCACCACCAGTGACCACTTGGGGACAGGTCTACTGCTCAGCTTGCAAGCCACGACCAAGCAATCCAATAGAAAAGAACATCCGTGTGTTCCCCAGCTCCCTGTCAGGTCTGGGCAGTGGGGCTTTTCCCTGAAGTTTGGTATGGGTGTAGGTCCCAGCCCCAGAGTCCTACACCCCCCCATTCAGTGCCTACTCTGACCCAAGATCCCTGCAGTATACCCAGCGGGTGGGAGACCCGAGAGCAGGAGAGGCCCCGTCCCTGCCTTCAACAGTTCTGCAGTGTGGGTGAGAACCCCAGAATCCACACAAAGCTTCTGGGTCTGGTGATTGTCACCATAATTGACCCTGTGGGTCAGAGGGCATGGACCTCAAGGATTTATCTATATTCACTCACAGAACTCTCATAGCAACCCTGCTGGACCGATTCCTGGGCAAAGAGGGGGAAACCAAGGCATAGGGTGCTCAGGGGCTTACAGAAAGCCACACCACTAGGAAACAGTGGACGCACAGTCTCTGAATCTGGAAGGACTGGCTCTGGAATAGCACCCTGAGCCTCAGCCAGATCTAGCAAGTGGGCAGAGCTGCAGCCCATAGGTATCTAGGGAAGGAAAGGGCTCTTGGAAGAGCTGGTTTTGGCTGGGCATGAAAGTGGACACATGCAGGGACAAGGAGGAATGGTATTCCTTGTGCGGGGAACAGCATGACCAGCACCCCAGAGGAGGAAGTAAGTAAAGCCTGCAGATTGAGGTTTAGCCAGAGGGCCTGGAGGAGCATGATGTGACTTAGGGAAACAGCAGGGATGAGAAGGGCCAGGAACCTCAGGGGCCTCAACTCTCCAAGTAGCAGGGACCGTGGAGACACCCCTTCTTTGCTGGTTATGGGAAACAAAGCCCCCAACTCTTCCTCATTATTGATCAGTCAGTGGCTGTCCCAGGAGACCTTCTTAGGGACCATTCAGGCACTCGTGGGAAGGTCTGCCACCTTTGTTGAGTCTTTTAGCAAGAAAAATTCAAGGCTGATTCATGTATCCACATAAAACTCACATCTCACCACCCAAGATGTCACGGCGTGAGTCATCTGAGCCCAATGCCGTCAGTGGCTGAGGCTGTGGTTACACCTCAGCAGGACTTCTGGAGACTTTCATCAATGAAGTCCCCGCTCACAAGCAGCTATAATTTGCCAGGAATTTGTTGCTATTTTTTTTTTCTTTTCAAATCTATTTGGGTCTCAGGGAGTTTGAGACCTTGAGAACACACAAAAAGGCTTTGTCTCTAGCCCCTGCCCCTCCTCCTGCCCACACCCCTCTCTTCCTTTCTGTCGTCCAGTGGATCTCCAGGTGAGAGGAGAGCCCGGGATGGCCAGCACTGACCCTCACTCAGCCACTAGCCCATGAGCCAGCCACCACTTCTCCCCACGCAAGGACACAGGGTTATCTGGGAAAAGAACAAGAAGAGATCAGAGTCCTCGTGCCCTTCCTGCAAGCTCCTCCTGACATGTCCAGGAGGGTGGCAGTATAATCATCCCATTTCACAGATGAGGAAACAGCACAGGAAGGCTTAGAGACTGGCTCCAGTTATCCTAAAACAGCAGAGCAGGGCTCTGTACTCCAGAACCTTCTCTGCTTCTTTCTTTCACCTCCCAGGAGAATCCCAGGTCCCTTCTGATGCTGACATCCTCTGAGGCCCACCATCTGTGACCAACAGTCCTCTAAAGGCCTCCTGGCATTTGAGGGATAACTGTTGAGTCAGCTCCTGGTGCATCCAGCCAAGTAGCTGGTAGATTCAGGTCTCAGAGGTATCATTGCAGCCTGAGGCTCATACCTCTCACACCTCAAGGCAGTGGGATGGGGAAGGAGGAAAGAGGCCTGTGGCCAGAGGGAGAGTCACTGACCCTTTACTGCCTGGTCCTACTGGGAAGCTGGGTCCTCAGATGGAGATCCTGAGGACCAGGGAGTCCTCCCTCAGCTTCTGCGCATGTCTAGATGGGGAAGAGTAAGGCCTCGTTTACAATTTCCATGGCAGTGAAAACACTGATCTTTGTTTAGAGACTCAGAAGCCTCAGGGTCTCCAGATAGCCATCATGGCCACTGATTTTCACTCCTCTGATGCAGAGGGGTGGTGGCAATGGGGCGGGGGAGGTGCCACAGGGCAGCTGCAGCTGGAGTACAGAACACTGCCGGCTGACCCTGCCCTTCTTTTCTCTTTGCCCTTCCTCGACTTGTCCCGATCCTCTTATGGACAGGCAGGGTGTGGATCGATACATACAGCATCGTTTTAGAGGAGAACATGACATATGAGAACCCAGAGAGGCCCAAGAGTCTCGCAGGGGGGGGGGGCTTGAGTCGGGCTGGTTGGGCAGGCAGCCTGGCAGACAGAGCGCCCACAGGTGCACCGTGGACAAGTGCATGGCCTTGCCCTGTGTCTGGCCACCCCACCACTTCCTTCAAAAGGCTCTGAGGGGTCAGGGACCTGTCAGTTCTGAAGGAGCTGCTCCCTGGCACCCCATTGCCTGTAGGCTTCAGGCAGGAGAGAGAGATCGGCTTCCCCCACTTCAGGGCTTGCCTGGGCACACCATTGTAAAGTGTTATGAGGGCTGACATCATCATACCCACCTTGTAGGGAAGGGAACAAAAATACTCATTCTTTGGTCCTCTCCACCTCCACTGGTCTACTGGTTGAGTGCCCAGGTCACAGGCACTGTTCCTGGCTTTGGGGATACAATGATGAACACAGGTGCCTGCCCTGTGGCTTTCAGTGCTAAAAGAAAGAATAAGTACAATGCAGCGGTGGAAGAGACAGAAGGCAACACACAAACTTCTGACTGTGGGAAGTACCCAGAGGGGGAGCCACACTAAGCTGGGCACCCGTCATGAAGAGAATTGACTTTCTTGGGAAGTCCAAGGGACACTGGCAAAGCACATGCAAAGGTTCTGTGGCAAGGGAATGTCAAGTTTGCAGGACTGGAGTTTGTGGGAGTGCAGAAAAGGCATGGCAGGAGAGGAGCCCTCTTCGTGACCTGAGGGCTTGAACAAGGTCAGCCTGGCAAGACAGCAAGGGCAGAACCTCAGCTCCTCTTATGATACCCAATTCAGTTCTCCAATGGGGAATGGGACTTTCCAACAGCAAGCAACAGGAAGCCAGGGGGCGGGGCTCCACCTTGAAGAGTGAGCCACCTCCGAGAAGTGGACTGAGCTGGGAGCTGGAGTTCAGTGACTTTAAGTCGGGGTTGGAGAAGTTAAGCATGAACATGGAATGTGCAGAGTGGGGGGCGGGGGGTTGGACTGGCTGGGCCATGGAGAATTTTGGAGAAAGTGACCTCTAAAAGTTCAAAGGGACTTAGGGGTGGCTGCCCTAGGGAGGCAGGGTGTCACTGAGGCTTTTCTGCGAACCTCTGCCTTTTATCCTTTCCAAAGTTGGAAGACGTGGGAGAAATCATTGAAAAAATCCGGATCGGCCACGATAACACAGGCATAAATCCGGGATGGCACTGCTCCCACGTGGACATCCGCAGGCTCCTCCCAGACAAAGACGTGAGTTTTTGCCTGGTCTGCTCTGCTCCTCCTCTTGCCCTGTTCCAGAAGAGACAAAGCAAATTCCCTTGATGGCTACTTCAGCCTTATTCAATTGAAATACAATCTCCTCAGGAAAAATCCACCCAATTCACTCAGACTAGTTCAGGGCCAAGACAGAATCTTCTGGAACCTGGTTTAGTGGCCAAGGAGGAGAGTCTGGGCAGCCACATCTCTGCTCCCCATGCCCAAGGCCAGAGTACTAGTGAAGGACCAGAATGTCCATCTTCTACTCAAAGTCAGTTCACAGAAGGAAAACATTCTGCATCCACAAAATTCTCAAGTTAGGAGACAGCTCTCTGCCATAGTGGATATGAATGATTTGGGAGTGACTTAAAAGCGTGGAACTCCTTCCCTTACTCCCTGAATCTAAATGTTCGCTTTGGGGTTCAGATATCTATGTTTAAGTGACCCTGGGAACCCCAGCCTTCAAGAGCCAATCACTGACGTGGTTGTGAAAGTCTTCAAGTGGGACAAGATCTGCGGAACGGGGCAAGAAGATGCCTTGTGGTTTTTGCACTTTTGAGGCTCCATGTCACTTGTCCTTGGTCTAATTAACATTAACATGAGTCTCTGGAATTGGTAGTTCCCACACCAGGCGCTAATTTCTCCCTCCTCCTCACTCCAGGGTACAGAGACCTTGACTTTCCCATGTGATCGATGGCTTGCCACCTCCGAGGATGACAAGAAGACCATTCGAGAACTGGTCCCCTACGACATCTTCACTGAGAAATACATGAAAGACGGGTCCTTGAGGCAGGTCTACAAGGAAGTGGAAGAGCCCCTGGACAGTAAGTGTAGGGGTCACCCCCATCACCAGAGGCAGCGCCATGGCCTGGCCCTCCCTTGCAGAGCACCTGCCCTTTCCAGACTGAGCCTTCTCCTGCAGACGGAGGGTCTATTTTATCTCCATGCTGTAAAGAGGGTAACTGAGGCTCACAGAAGTCACACAAGCTGCCCAGCAGCTAATAAATTGCAGCAGTAGACTTCAAAGTTTTTCCTGTTTCACTCCAAAGTGTGTATTCAAATCCCTTCCTGGTCCAATATTATGATAATAAATCCAAATAGGCGTTTTCCTGTGCCTAAATTATCCTGGTCCTCGCCTTCTCTCTCCTCCATATATTTGCCTACCAATCTGGGTGGATTGGTCCTCTCTGCTCATGCTGGATCCAGCTGCTCCAATTAAGTATGAATTAAGAAGCATCTTGAAACTTGGGATGTAGTTCAATGTAGAGCACCTGCCTCGCATGCAAGGTCTTGAGTTGGATTCCCAGCACCACCAAAAAGAAAAGAAAAAAAAAAGGAGGGAAGAAAGGCAGGCAGGCAGGCAGAAAAGCTCTAGCTGATTTGTAACTGAAACTCTTGTATATTAGCTCTCCATGGTTGGAGGATTGGATGCAGGGACAGAGTGTCCAAGGTCCCATATTTGTTTTTTTGTATGAGACAGCCCCTTTCTCTCTTTTCTTTCCAGAATCCCCAGCCCTTTTAAAATATTTTCTTTAGAGAAAGGGTCTAGCTGAGTTGCTTAGGGACTTCCTAAGTTGCAGAGGCTGACTTTGAACTCATGATCCTCTGGAGCTGCTGGGATTACAGGCATGAGCCACCATGCCCAGCCCTTTCTCCATTCTTCATGAATGTCATTTTCTCTGCAGGATCTGCACCACCCTGACCACTCAATTCTTAGGCTTCCTCCTTTGCTTTGGGTGACACAGTCACATTCTGATTCTCTTCCTACCTCTCTAAATAGTCCGCTGAGGTGGTATTCCTCAAGGCTTACTCTTCAACTTCCTCCTCTTTTTCTACATCATGTGTGCGTGCACATGCACATATATTCTTCCTGTACCTCAGGGGCAGAGTCACACCTCTGTTTTGACCAGTGAAGGCGTGGTCCATGTCAATCCCCACGTTATTCACCAGTCATTCGAGAATTAGCTTTAGCTATTTCAAAAATCAACTTCACTTACAAGAGCCAGACTTTATGCCACTGATAACATACAAAAAAATCCTCTGGGCCTCTCCAGCATGGTGGTCTACATGGACCCCAGAAGCTCTAAAACCTTAGAAATCCAGCTCAACATTGTGGTGTTGCCTTCTTAGAAAAACTGGAGTAAAACCCAAGACTCCAATAAAATCCAAGATTCCCATCTAAAGACAGGGGAACAGATCTTTCTGCCCACCAAGCTGGTGAGACAATCAAAAGTCAAATATATTTTTCCTTTTCTATTACAGGAAGAAAAACAGTTATAGCTCCTTCATTCCTTCAATCTCAACTGCCACTCCACTTAGAAATAAAAACCAGTGTTGCCCCAGTACCGTGACTCTCCCTGCCCATATTTCTTTCCCTAAATTTTCTTTGCTATTGAATCAGGGCAATAGTTTTCTTTTCTTCTTGGACCCCAGAAGATGCCCTGGACTGCTGTCCCAGCAGCACACTTGGGCTGTTCTGTATGAATCACTTGCCACAAAACCCACTCGGCACTTGGTGATGTTTCTAAGGAAACATCTTTCCACTGATGAGCTGTGGCCTGGGTGGGATGGAGAGGGAGGAGGATCCAGAAATAGCTGGATCCTGCACACAGCATTGCTCAGCACCCAGAAGCTGGATCTGTTTTCCTAATTCCCTAAGGACTGGAAAAAGCAGTGGGGGTGGAGTAGGGGGAGTAGGAAGGCCATTTAGTCACAGCCCCTGGGGACACATCAGCAATCTGGGAAGAAGGCTTCTAGAAACGTGTCCTCACAGGCCCACCCACCCACCACGATGATTCCATGTGTGGAACAGGCAGGCCTGAAGGCAGCCAGGAAGTGGAGGAGAGGAAGTGAGAGGGGAGGACAGGCGACTGTTGTGTCTCAACAGTGACAAGACTCCTAATGTCACTTCATGTCAGTATTACCTTGGTAGACTTGGATGATATTGGCTCTTTGAAGCAACAAGAGGTTTCATTTACTAATGCAGCAGGAATGCTGGCTGGACCGTGCACTGAGTGTGGTGGGGTAAGGGCAAACGTGATATGTCCCCAGTTGCCCTCACATTGGGAGACACACCTGTAACCATTAGGTCTCACAATGCACCAACAGGCTTTGGAAAGCAGGGCGCTGGGAGTGCTGTGGAGAGAGAGATGGTGGGTGGAAGGTCTGGAATGGAGATGGGGTGCAGCAGGGACAGAGCTCATTTGGACGTGTGAGTTTGATGCTGGGTTCTAGTCGAGGTGGAGATGACCACTAGGTAACAGAGCAAGGGTTTGAAGCATGGGAAGCAACTGGAGATACAGACTCAGGAGCTCAAGGAAGACACTGCCAGGCTGTGCAAGATGAGCTGAGAGAGGTGGGTGGAACTGGGAGAACTTGGGGTCCATGGGGTGCAAAGGCGATGAGGACCTATGATGCTACTCCAGAAGGCACACCAGAGAGGAAGAAAAAGAGTGTGTGCTGCAGAACCCAAGGGAACACCAGGAACCATGTCGCGGGTGTGCCTGTGCCAGTGCCCACGGCCATGAGCAACCGTAGCCTCTCACTTACCCACATTGGATTCGAGGTGGTTGTGAGCCCGATTCCAAGGGCTGGAGAGAAAGCCCTGATCAGGTCCTGCAAGGAGGGGGACTCCTTTCCAAGGGTCTTGTAGGAATCCTGAGGCTCACAGGAGATCCTTAGCCCTTAATCTAGGGTAGGTGCCACTCCTCTCTGTGTCCTGTACCACACACTGTGCCACTGTTGCTGTTGGCTCTCTGCCAACACTCAGGTGTCATTTCTCTGGGTCATAAACACCACTGCATGAACCCTGGCTTGTCAAGAAAGGCTTTCTTCTGCCTTGAGGCCTTCTCCAAGTCCCTATAGGAATCTGGCAGCCATCTCCCTACTGGGTCTCTATGTGCACATGGGGGGTCCCTACTTTCAAGGAAAAGGGAAATTAGCCTCTAGCCTTCATCTCCCTTGGGGAGAATCCAGCGAAACTGCTTCATCCTTGACCTGAAACTAAAGATCTCCATGGACAGAGGAGTATGGACAGGGGAGAAGCATTCCTACATTCGTAAAGGAGTTTTGTGGGGGCTGGGTTGTGGCTCAGTGGTAGAGTGCTTGCGTATCAGGTGTGAGGCACTGGGTTTGAGCCCCAGCACCACATAAAAATAAATAATAAAATAAAGGTGGTATGGTGTCCCTCTACAACTAAAATAAATAAATAGATAGATACAGGTTTGGGAGGCTTGCCTCTTCCCGCTGGGTTAGAGATTGGGAAAGGGCTGTTTAATTTAATTCTTCTTCTAGGAGGCCACAGCAGAAGGCAAAACAAGAGGCCATAAGCTTCCATTTTCCTTAAACTTTCTGTACTCGTTGCCCTAATAGGTATCAGGCACTTCCTAGGGTCCCTGGGGGACAAAGGATGGGCAGCAGTCCCTGGGACTTGGGGGAGAAGAGTTTGTCTGAAGCCCTGAGGGAAGTCAAGGGGACACAGTGGGGTGAGGAATACATGAAAATAAGAAAATGGACACTGACCGGCAATGATTTTTAAAAACATATTGTAATTTTCCCGTGATGCAGTTAGAAGGATCTGGCGTTGACACCAGTCGGATGGAATGTCATGTGATGGTTGGTGTGTCCCAGCAGGAAAATTTAGTGACCACAATATAGACACACTTCAGGTGGCATCCAGGGTCTTTCCCCCGGACACTGTAGGTGGCTGGTTTGAGGTGCACTTGGAGAAGTCCCCATGCTCTGGTTCTCTGAGAGCCCCTGGGTGCAGATCAGCAGGGGTGGCAGCCGAACATGCATAACTGAGCAAGAGGAGGGCCTGACTCCTTGAGGCCTGCACCACACCTCAATCCACCTGCAAGTCCAGCTCCCAGACCTGAAGCCATGTCATCCTTCTCCCTTTGTCTTGTCCATCTGTCCGACTCCTTGCCCAGTCGTGCTGTACTCGGTGCAGATCTTCACCGGGAACGTTCCCGGGGCGGGGACGGATGCCAAGGTCTACATCACCATCTACGGAGACCTGGGGGACACGGGGGAGCGGTACCTGGGCAAGTCCGAGAACCGCACCAACAAGTTTGAGAAAGGAACGGTATGCGGGGCGTGCTGAGTTCACCCCACTTCCCTTCTCTTACCCTGGGACATTTATCTGGGTACTGGCTCTCCTTGGTCCCCAGGGGTGTTCGGGAATTCTGTGGGATACTGGGAACCCCCATGGGGGCTTTTGCCCTTGCCCTTCCCCCCACAGGGCAGCCCATCCCCCTTCCTAGCAGGTGTACCTTCCCAGGGTCCCACAGATGATGTCAGGTGGGGCAGAAGGTGGGGCTGGAAGTCTAGGTTGTTGGCTTCATGGGAGGGTCTCGGCTTCACCATGGGTGTCTCATGCCCATGGAGGTGAGGGCTGGAGGGTGGTGCAGTCTGTGTGGACAGAGGCTTGGCCTGGGGGTCTGGAGCCCCGGTCTGCCTTCAACTCCATATGTGATTCACCTCCTCTGACCTCAGTTTAAAGTAAGGGGTCAAATTTGAATTGACTCAACTCCATCATGCAGAGCCCTGGGCAGCACATGGTGCTGGGAAACCATGGATAAAATGGGGGAAGCAGACAGGCCCCCCCCCACCCAGATAGAACCTCTTTGACCTGGCCTGTTTATTGAGGCACCAAGCAAGTCCTCTGTCAAGAAAAGGGTTCTGTGACTATTAAAAGGCTTTAAAAAACCACATGACCAGCAGTATCAACAGTCCTTCCAGCTTGAACATACTGTGATTTTACAAGAAGGAAGAAGTCTGTCCAGAGGGACCTTAAAGGGTGGGCATTGCCAGACTTCCCGTTGCCACCAGCTCAGCTCTCTCCCTGCGCCCTGCCTGCCTGGGCCCCTTCACTGGACCCACAGCCTCTTCTCCTCTGTATTCATCTAAAACTTTCCCAAACCCCCAGAGGCCAGGAGATCATATCTGGGGAATTGGCTTCTGATCCAAGCTGTAGTCTTGCTCGTTGGTTGGGTGGAGGGATTTCACACTCCAACCTGTGGGTCTTTATCAAGGGTGTCCTTAAGCCTGACATTCAGCCAGGTGTGACACTTAGTGTTAAACCACTTGCTACTGAATGGAGGAAATCAGACCTGGGGCAAGAAAAGTGGTTGTCACCTAAGTGGGTCTGCAGTGGCTGGTGACCCCAGGAGTAGGGTCTCATGGGAGGAGCTCCAAGCTGGCTCCTTAATCTAGAAGTAAGCCATTTCCCTTTACTTCAGTTTACTGCTTCTAAAGTGGAATGTAATGTGAGTGTTAAGTGGACCTTGCCCTGAGAGACAGAGTGAGGTGAACACATTCTGCATCACAGAAGATCATTTAAAGTCAGTCTCTCTCTCTCTCTCTCTCTCTCTCTCTCACACACACACACACACACATACACACACACACACACACACCACTAGAGATGTACTTGTTCACTGCTCATGTACAGTGGCTAGGAGGAAGACTATCCTCCCCAGTCCATTTTTTGGGGAAAAAAATAGAATGCCAAAGAGGTCAACCGTTTGACCATCACATTTCATGGGGTCAAGGATGAGTGATGTCCCTGGGGTCAGGGATGAAGCAGTGCCAGACGCCGGGATCTGATCACCTGAATTCAGATCCTGGTTCTAATACTTACTAGCTGTGTGATCTTGAGCAAGTTACTTAGCAACTCCATGCCTCAGCTTCCTCCACATAAAATAGAGTTGACATTGAGTCACTGTGACCGTCAACCGAATTAAAACCTGTGAAGTGCCTCATCCCTTTCTCCTCCCATCTGCTGGTTCTGATGCTCCATCAGGAGAGCTGGAGCTTCCTCTGGATCGGTTACTATTTATAGGAACTGAAGTTCACTGCGGGCATCTGAAAGCTTCCATTTCTCTAGTCACTTGCACGGGAACTAGGAGTCACCCCTTAAAACCCTTTTTCTATCAGCACCCCCTTCCCACCTACATCGAATCAATCGCCAGTTCTGGGAGATTCTCCCCTCTAAATATCCTCGGGTCAGTTGAGTCTGCTCCGTGGCGACTCAGCCCTTCCCCTTCTCACCTCTCTTACTGAACGGGCCTGGTGTCTCTGCTCCAGGCCCCACCAGCCAATCCATCTTCTTCTGCTTCCCTCAATTACCCTGTCCAAAGCTGTTAGAGTCACTCACACATTTTAGTCCTTCAGGGGTCCCCATAGATCCCAGATCTCACCCGAATCCTTCACATGACTTGCAGACCTTCCTGACCTACCCTGGGTGACCTGCCTGGAATGTCCCTGACAAACCACTGGGCTCAGTTTCCAGAAAGTTCCATGCTTTCTCCTGCCTCCACACCTTTCCCAATGCTTTCTCTGAGTACATGGACATGCTTCCATAGAAAACGGACAATGCCATTCTGTGGTTTCACTTTTTTACATAAAAGGCATCATGCTATATAAATACTCCTGCACTTGCCTTTGGCATTCAGTGGGATGCCTTGGCAATCTTTCTGTGTCAGGATATTCAAACGTAGAAGGAGTTGGCTCTTCTCTGTCACCACTACACACATCCATTCCCCAGGCAAGGCTATGCCAGAGTTGTTTAACTGTTCCCCAAGAATGGAGCCTCAGCTGGCTTCCGGTTTCCCACTGTAGACTTGTCCTGCAAAAGCATTCTTAGGCACATATGAAAGTCTTCCTCTAAATCAGATGCAATGAAGGGGAAGTGCTGGGCCGCAGGGTATGCCCATTTCTACTCCAATGAACTCAGTTTCTAGTGTATCAAGTTAACAGGTTTAACTCATCTGTCACTGTCATGGCCATTAGACGCCACCCTCTCACATCAGAGTCCGTCTTTCAAATACCCACGAGTTTATCCCAAGAGAAATTTGGGCAGAGGCAGTTTTCTCCAAGGAATTGCATACATGAGTGGACTGGAATGGGGCCATTATGGAAGTGAGGCCTTGAACTTGGAGATCAATCACTCAGGGATTTGGACCTGGAGGTTCCCCAGATAGGATCTGTTCAGCCCAATAATGAAGGAGGGTGGAAGGCCCTGAAAGGATGGGGTTGGAGTGGGATGAAGTGGGGTGCTCCCCACCAAGTCCCCCCATGGACTCCCCAGGCCGACACTTTCATCATTGAGGCTGCTGACCTGGGCGTCATCTACAAGATAAAGCTGCGCCATGATAACACCAAATGGTGTGCAGACTGGTATGTGGAGAAGGTGGAGATCTGGAACGACACCAATGAGGATGAGTTCCTGTTCCTGTGCGGGCGCTGGCTCTCCCTGAAGAAGGAGGATGGACGGCTGGAGAGGCTCTTTTACGAAAAGGTACAATGAGGGATGGTCAGGGCCTTGGCTCAGCCATGGCCTATCACCATCTTTATACCTGGGGAGGGTTCTTGAAGAAGAAGATGTTGAGCTGTAACAGGCCTGGGTGATGCTTTTCTGGACAGGAGTACACTGGGGACCGCAGTAGCAACTGCAGCAGTCCAGCTGACTTCTGGGAGATTGCCCTGAGCTCCAAGATGGCGGACGTGGACATCGCCACTGTCACGGGGCCCATGGCTGACTATGTTCAGGAGGGCCCAGGTAAGATGAGACTCTCAGAACACAGATTCAGTCCAGAGGGCCTGGGGAAACCAGACAGAAGCCCGAAGCTGCATTGGGAATCCCTTGCTGGTTGACAGTGTACTCAGCCACACAAAATACTATGTCAGGTGTGGTAGGAGCAGGGAAAGAAGTCCCAAGCTGGTTGGTTGGGGACATAAGCTCCATTTCTGGTTCTGGTTCTCTCAGCTTAAAGATTTTTCTTCTTCCGTAAAACAGCATCATAATTCCCTGACAAGTTCACCTTGCCAACCAGACTTTTGAGATAAGGTGGTTCTAGATTTGTCTATTGAACATTTAAATACACTGCTTTCCTTTCAGTCCCTTAAGTGTAAAAGTGTGATAGTGTCCCCTCCAGGAGACCATGTGGTGGATCTGTGGGTCTGGGGTTGGGCAAAGAGAGCTATCTATTTACACAGTGCCTCTCACCCTGTGAATAAATGACAGGACCCCCGCCCTCCCAAATGCTCCTCCTTAGCTAAGCACTACGATCCCTGTGGAAAGGACTGAGAGCTCTCCTTGTGGAGATAAAACAGGGAAACACAGGTACAGAAAACATCTCAAGTTATCCCACAAAGGGCTAATCTGGAAACTTTTCAGAGACACAGATTGTATATCCTAAACCCACTGTGCCAGGGCAGTGTCCCCAACCTTTTGAGGAAGATGGTCCAGGAGAGAAGGATTTCCAATTTGCTATCAATCAGTAACTGCAAATGACAGTGCCCTGGAGATAGTGGCTTAAAGGAATGCAGATTATTTTTTTCTTTTATGAAAGTTCAGAAGTAGGCCATCTGGAACTAATCCAGCAGCTCCAGTGACATCAGGCAACAGGTTCCCTCAACCTGGTCACCCTGGCAACCTTATAAATTGCTTGCATCCTAAAGCTTGCCCATGACTCTAAGATGGCTCTTGGAACCACAGCCATCCCACCCACATTCCAAAAAGACTCAGAACTTTTAAAGAAGGTTTTCCCTACAACACCTGCTGGCCTGTAACTCCTCAAGAGCTTCAAGGGGAGTAATACGAGAGGGGAACTAGAAATGTATGCCATGCCCACCGAGCAAATTGGTAGGCTGATTAGTCTAGTTTGGCTTGGAAATAGATATCTTCTAGAACTTTACTACATGATATATGGATGTATAATACATTTTTGTTACTCTTCCCGAAATTTCTCTCTATGAGAACTCACTTTTGCTGACCTCAGTTTTTGCTGACCGTGGAAGCCCTTTTGCCCTGTAACTCCTGCACGTGGACAGAGGCCATTGTTCTGACCTTCCTACCTGGTAGTGCTGGGTTCAAGACAATTGGCCAAAAGGGTTCTCCTAAGCTTGACACTCCAAACCAGTGACAAGGACACTCTCTTTGTGCTCACTCTTGGAGTTACCAACTCCCTCGTTCCCTGGAGTGTAGACATCAGTGGGAACTCCTCCACTGGGAAGTTTTCTTGTTCTGGGCTCTGAAGGAGCCAAGGGCAGTGGTCTCCAGCGGCCATGGCATCTCCGGGCCTGTGTAGCGCACCCTGCACGCCAGCCCATGGTGAGGCTGGGCTGCCACCATCTCTTGCAGTCATTCCCTACTACGTGTCAGTGACCACCGGGAAGCACAGGGACGCGGCCACCGATAGCCGAGCCTTCATCTTACTCATCGGAGAGGAGGACGAACGCAGCAACCGCATCTGGCTGGATTACCCCCAGGGGAAGAGGGGCTTTGCCTGCGGCTCGGTAGAGGAGTTCTACGTCGGGGGCTTGGACGTGGGCACCATCAAGAAAATAGAGGTGCTGGCCTTTGGGGCCCTGTGATGGTGACCACTGCAGAGAAGGAAGGAGATGACTAGGACCTAGGGTGGGTGGGGGGTTGGGGGTCAGGCAGAGCAATGACCTGGAGCCCCTCAGACCAGGAAGCAGAGGGAGACCTCCCAGCCTCCTCCATCAAAGAGCTGGGTGACCTTGGGTGAGTCTCCTGCCTCTCTGGTTCCCATTCTCTACCCGTCCAGTGGAGATGCCCTGTGTATTAATTCTTTTTTAATCACCATGTAACAAATTCTCACGAAGTTCATCAGTGGATGGTCTCTGGTGGCCACCCTCCCGCTTCCCAGACACATTCCAGATGTGCATTAGCAGGTCCACTTCTGAAGGCCTCACTGGGATGACAGCAAGTTGCAGCCAGAGCTGTGATCTTGTCTAAGGCTTGGGGTCCTAGTGACCAAATCCATTTTCTTGGGGTTGTGAGGATGGAAGGCTTCAGTTCCCAGTGTTTGCCTGCCATTCCCCACCATGTGGCTGTCTCCAAAACATGGTGGTGTCCTTGTTCAAGACCAATAGGAAACCATCCCTTCTGCTTCAGACACCTCTGACTTCTTCTATCCCCAACATTCAGATCCTCTTTTCAAGGGCTCCCCTGATGAGCCAGAGTCTTTCTTTGATTAACTCAAAGTCATCTGCTTAGAGACCTTAATGAGATCTGTAAAATCTCATTTGTGGGAGGGCCTTGGGCCAGTGGGTGCCCAGCACACTGGAAGGAGACGTTGAGAGTGGGGCCACAGGACAGGGAGGGGGCCGTTGAACAGAAAGGACTCTCTTCCCAGTTGTACCCAGATCCTCACAGGCTGGTCTGTCTCTTCCCAGCTGGGCCATGATGGAGCCTCCCCCGAGAGCTGCTGGCTGGTGGAAGAGCTGTGCTTGGCAGTGCCCACCCAGGGCATCAAGTACACACTGTCCTGCAACTGCTGGCTTGCCAAGGACCGGGGTGACGGGGTCACCTCTCGTGTTTTTGACCTGCTGGATGCCATGGTGGTGAACATCGGGGTGAAGGTGTGGGGACACTGTGGATGTGCCTTGTAGATAGGGATCAGCAGGGGAGACCAAGTGAGGAGGTAGGAGACTCATCACTAGGGCACTCTAGCCTGGCATACTGGTTAGACTCACTGTGCTAGAAACAAGGAGAGGGCTCTCTTTGGTCCGATGCTGTATGACCTTGGGCAAATCACTTAGCCTCACTGTTGCCTTGGTTTCATGATAGGTTATGAACAAGGTCATGAACAGTCTGTGGAAGAGCTCTCGAAGGTAACAGCTCAGCATAGACATGCAGGGTTGCTGTTCTCCTAGGTGCTATACCAGCACCACCAGCCCGGGCACAGAGAAAGATGGCACTTGAGATACTCTGGTCTCACAGCACAGGGAATGAGACTCTCCCTGGCTGGAAGAAGGCAGAAGCTACGTACCCCTGTCCTTGTTCTAACTGGCCAAATGAATTTTGGCAAGTTGTATGAACTCAGGCCAGGACCAGGCAGGACACAGGATAGGTGGCTGGAACCCAAGGACCCACAGACAGTTGATGGCCTGACCCTGTGGTCTCTCTCTGTCTCATAAGCTATGGGATCAACAGAAACCCCAGCCCTTATCTCTGTTGCTTAATCTAAACTCATGGCCAGCTTGGCCATCCCCCAAAGGTAAGGACTGAGCCGAGAGGCCCTGCTAATCTTGGGCATGGAAATGGCAGAAGGGTCTGAGTCCTGGATTCTAAAATCCTTGACAGGCAGGAGCAGGGGTGCCTGTGCCTCCTCTGCAGAAGAGTAGGGAGCAGAACATTCCACGGTACAGCCATCCCCCTGCTTCCCAGACACCTTCTGTGGCCGACTGGACGATGTCGGTGAGCCGCGACTCAGCCAGGGCCCACCGCACTGACCCGCTTGCCAGGCAGCCGGGTGCGCCTGTGCGGGCCCCACCCACACAGGGCAGCCACGCCTCCTCCCAGCTCTCTAGTCCAGGAAAATCCAGCTGCATACCCCTGCTATTCACAGAACAAAAGAACACAGCTCTGTCACTGTACAAAGAACCACAGGGCTCTTTGGACTGGCCTTCTCCCCAGGACACTTGATACCAGACCGGATTTACAGGAGCCCTGCTTCTGTCTCTTTTTGGAAACACACCAGTTACATAAAAAAGGGACACATCTGTGTAAAGCAGAGGAAGGTGGATGCAGAGAACACAGGGGCAAGAGGGCCAGCCCTCAGAGGCCAGTCTCCATGGGGCCACCAACGCGCTTGTTTTGATCATTCTATTTTTTTATGCCTGTCTGGATAAGAGCAAGAAAGCACCAGGCTCCCATATGTGTCCACAGTAGCCCCTCCTGCCCACCCTGAGTGCCCTTGGTGGGCAGCACAGGGGGCTCTGGGTAAAGCAGGAGAGCTGTCTGGCATTCCCCCTGAGAGTGGCCCTGAGCTCTGTGGGTGGGGCCTGCACGTGATAGAGCTATACCTGCAGGGTCCTGGGGAAGATTCTAGATGCTGCTAGAAAAGCCTCCAGCAGGTGCAGCGGCACGGGGCATTGCCATCCAGGTGAAGGCAGGAGGAGGCAGCCACGGGGGAAGAAGAGGGCCAGGGCTTTTCAAAGGAGCCATCAGCCTGGCTTTCCGCCTCCTCTGCTGAGCATCTAACCCTGCTGTCAGTCGGGATTCTCCTCTCGAGGGAGAATGGAGGACAAGCCCAGCCCCAGGGACACCCCAGAACATCTGAGTGGGTGTTGCCTCTTGCCACCAGGCTGCCTCTCATGGGAAGAGCCAGGGCAGGGCCTGGGAGAGGGCTGGGCTCTCCCCACCCCTGCATGGGGACAGCTGGAGGGATTTCATCCTTTTTAGAGCAAACCTGAGGCAAAAGAGCAAAATCTGGATCTAAAGCAAAAGTTCTGTGAATAGGCAATTGTCCTGTTCACTGATGGTTTGAGGCCGAGATCCTTCAGAAGTCACTCCCAAGGGTACCCCTTGCTCACAGACCTCAGTGTAAGCTGGTTGTGGTGGGAAGTGGGGACACCTGGAACCCCAAGGCTCATCTGTCACTGTCATGCCCAGGGCCGGGCACAGATATGAACTGTCCATAGCCCACTCTAGTCTGTGCCTCACCACAGGGAAACGGGCTGGCAGGTGGCGGGATCTGCCCAGGGTCAACAGCTGACAAGTGGCAGATCTGGGATTCAAATGAGCTCTGGATGATTTCAAAGGCCACTGCCCTCCCACTGTGGTTGGACTGACAGAGACTGGATGCACCTTGGCTTTAGGCCACACCAACAGCCCTCTGCCAGGCTGAGCTCTCCAGGGCTGGGCCCCGTGGGGCCTGCAAGGGGCAAGACCTGGCTCTTGATCCCCAGGCTCTCCCCGTTGCTTGGTGGGGGGGGGCTCTTCTTGGAGCTAGGCGAGTGCGTCTTCTTTCCCAGGGAGACTGAGGCAAGTTGAGTGGGTTGACGAGGCGCCTGAGGCTTAAGACCCTGTCCCTCCCATGGCAGGTGCTTTACGAAATGACAGTGTGGACAGGCGACGTGGTCGGTGGGGGCACCGACTCCAACATCTTCATGACCCTCTATGGCATCAACGGGAGCACAGAGGAGGTGCAGCTGGACAAAAAGAAGGCCAGGTACCCCAAGAGGGCCAGTGCCCCTCTCCCCTCCTCCCATCCAGCCCTCCATCCTCTGCCCCAGCTGGCTCAGTGTGAGCACACCGTGGAACCTTCCAGCCACACTTTTGTCACCCTGTCTCAATACTTTCTCTCTTTCGAGAGCCAGCTCAAGCCCACCTTTCCCGGGAGCCTTCCTGGACCACCTCGCCCAGACAAGTTCTCCCTCCTTCCTTCTTCTTCTTTTTTTTCCATTTGGTCATTCAAAAAAACCCAACGCAAGATCTATATTTGCTAGTGCTGTGTCCTTGCTAATTTCTTTGCTTAAGGGACCATAAGATGCAGACTTTAGGGAAAGTTGGGGGAAGGGTACACAAAATTCTTTTCTTCTTCTTCTTCTTCTTTTTTTTTTTTTTTTTTTGCAATTTTCTACCTAAAACAATTGCAAAACAAATATCAATCCATTTCCAAAACATTAAAAAAAGAAAAGAATGAGCACTGGCTCGGGCCTGGGGAGGGGTCATGTTCTGGAGGGCCCAGCCCTGCATCCATGGCACCTCCCGCCCCAGGTGCACAGAAGAGCTACTGCTGTACACAAGGGCTGGCAGGTGCCAGGCATGGTTCTGAGCCAGGCATGGCAACTCCCAGTCTTTTCCATGGCCCTCTGAGGACACTGACCATCACACCCATTTTACAGGTGAGACAACTGAGTCACAGAGAGGGGAAGTCATAATGCTCCGGGATGCCGTGGCACTGGGAAGTGTGCCCAGATGGGCTTTAGTCTTGAGTATGAGGTTCCCTTAAAATGGGGACTAGGAAGGACAGTATCATGGGCTTCCTGGAGCACTTGGTCAGTGCCTGGCATTGGACCACCCTTTAGACAGCAGGGGTTTGAGTTGGTTTTCCATGCTCAGCCATTGTCCTTCAAACATCCTGGCCCCTGGCACCTTAAAACCCGAGGAGACAGACTCAGGGTCCAAGCCTAGCAGCTTTAAAACCCAGCCACGGCCACAGTGCCCCGTCACCATCTGGAGCTGGTGAGATCCAGGGTGGCTTTCTTCCGAATCCCCCTGCTCCTGGCTCTGGCCTCACAGGTAGGGACCACTGAGTGCGTAACTCTGGATCCTCACTGGGGAGGTGGTGCTGAGGATGGTGATCTTGGTGATGATGGTGGTGACTGGCATGAGGATAAAGAAGCTCTTTCTTGGGGACCAGGCAGGAATTTCCTCCCATGGCAGAGCAGCTGATTAGAGTAGGAGCTTTGCCCACCCTCTGCAGCTCCTCCCCGGGCTGTGCTAAGGAGATTTACCTGTCTCTTCTTAGCACTTCTGCCCTCTCATTACCCTGCTCTCGGTTCCTTCTGGAATTCTTCCTGGAGCAACTAGCCATGAGGATGATAGTGAACACTGATGAATCCAAGTGCTGTGGAAAGTGCCCTTTGATCTATGCAAACTCACAACACCCCCTGTAGTTTACTCATTGTGCCTGAGACACAGAGAGATACAGTAACTTGCCCACGGTTGCACAGCTAGTAAGAAGGGAAATTATTGGGATTTGAACTCAGGCACTTGTAGGAATAAACAAAGATCAAAGGCCATTTCTTCAGAGTTTGTTGCTGCAAGGGGGTCAGTCACCATCACTTGGTATGACAGGGGCTCACAGGCTGTCAGAAGAGGGGAAAAGATTTCTAGTGAAGGGTTACTTGAGGCTGGAGGTACACTAGGAAGAATGGGGGTATCTTGTGTGATTGGATTGTAGAGCACGGTGGGTCTCTCTGGTTGGTCTTGAGCTGGGAACAGGAACAAAAGCGGGGAACTGGCAGTCACCAACCAGGTCTTGACCATCCTGAGCCAATCTCTATAGAGCCTTGGGCTCCCTAAGAGGTGACTGTGGAAGCTGTGGGTGTCAGCTCTGTTGTCACGCGTGGTCTGGCTGTTGTCCCTGTGCCCCGTGCGTGCTCAGCCCCTCTGGTCTTCACCTCTACAGTCACTGTAACCTCCATCCAACCCTTAATTCCTGGATTTTTCTCTGGCTACCTATCTCCCTCCCACACTCCCCCTTACTGAGCAGATGTCCAGGGCATAATCACTGGTGGGACGGGGGCTAGACCTCACCTCTGGGAGTATCCAAATTCCAAAAGTTACTTGAAATCCCAAATCCCATCATTATCAATAGAGCCATATTGCCAATGCTTCCAGGCCCCTTTAGTTCAAGGGTTTCTCTGAATGAAGATCTATTTTGTGAGCAGGACCACGATTTTTCAGTTACGCTGTTGGCCAGCCCAGGGCTCTTTCCTGTGGCCTGTGCTGTCTTATTGTATTTGCATGCGGCAGAGGTTTCACCAGGCTCCTGGGGTCCTTGCGATGCGTGTCTGCATCTTGAGTGGCAATGCGTGTCTGCATCTTGACTGGGGTCTTGGATAGAAAGACCCACAGGGCATAGGTCACATGGCTTGATGGTGTTCAGGGAGATGCACTTCCTAAGAGAGGCCATGTGGCTGGGTGCAGTAACACACATCTGGAATCCCAGTGGCTGGGGAGGCTGAGGCAGGAGGATCGTGAGTTCAAAGCCAGCCGCCACAACAGCAAGGCACTAAGCAACTCAGTGAGATCCCATCTCTAGAAATAAAATACAGAATAGGGCTGGGGGTGTGGCTCAGTGATTGAGTGCCCCTGAATTCAATGCTGGGTATGCCCCCCCCCCAAAATAAAGAGGCCATGTGATCAGAGAAGGCTGTGGGCAGGCTGGACCCAGAGGCCAGAGCTCAGTTTGGTCCACAGCATCCCCAGCCCCAACCCCAACTTTGGAGAGCTTCTCACTTCTAATCGCCATAAACGCACACCGCCAAGTCACCAAGAGAGGGCGGGCTCCGTTCCCCCGCTGCCTCTAAGACGAGGCATCCTTCTCCCTCAGCAGCACTTGCGGTCTCAGCCCCCGCTGGCTGTGGCCTCTTTTTATAAATATGCCTTGTATCCAAGGAAGCATGACAATTGCCACTCAGAGCTGTCTCTTCAGGGCCACCTGCATCACTCCGAAGGGCTTATCAACAGTATCACCTGGCATCAGTCAGCAGCCAAGCAATCAGTCACCATTGAAGGTCACATTGTACATGTGGCAGTGTGGGAGGAGCAGTGAGGAATAAAGACAGAGCCTCTCTGAGATGATGAGGTCATTCAGCACAAAAATAATAATAGCAACAAAAGCCGAATTACTTTCTATTTGCCACCACTTTACAGGTGCCCGTAGCATTACCCAATCCCGGGCCACTGTGTTCAGTGGTGCAGATTGCACATAGAAAAATATGAATGACGCCTTCTACAGTTGTGCAGTGCCCAATCTGCCCCATCGCTCGCGGTGGCCCTGTCACTCAGAATCTCATTTAAAGCTCTTCAGTTTTGAAATTCTTTTGGCTTTTAAAGTTGTTTTCACATCCATTTGGTCCCCATGAAAGTTTTGTGAGATTGCAGGGTTAGGGTCATTCTGGAAGTGTTCCAGGTGACTTAGCAGAACATGATCAGAACCCAGAACTAGCAGCTCTTGGCTCAGGGTCATTTCTACCCACCAAATACATCTGGAGAGCAAGAGGGGGAGCTTATCCCAAATGTGGTCTCTGGCCGTGGCCGGCTTCCCCTCTTCAGGCCTCTGCTCCCCACCCCCAGGTTCGAGCGGGAGCAGAACGACACCTTCATCATGGAGATCCTGGACATCGCTCCCTTCACCAAGATGCGCATCCGCATCGATGGCCTGGGCAGCCGGCCCGAGTGGTTCCTGGAAAGGGTGAGGACCCTCACTCTCCCTTCTAGGCACTGTCTGCCCCTCCTCCCTGTTATTTTGGGTCATCAGTGGACATTGGTTAACAAATGTCACTGAAGAGGGTGATGACATGAGCCCGGCCATGAAATCCAATTTGCCCTTTGGCGTGAATTAATCAGGGGACATAGTTTCAGGTGTCCAGTGAGAGTCTGGTCAGCTTCTGGAGCAGACAGACAGCATGAGTTGTGAACAGAACATGGCCACCGCCTGGGGTGAGGGGAGGCCTGGCTTGGGCTTTCTCTGGGACGTGGATTGGGAGGTCAAGAGAGGAGCAGCAGGAACCAGGACAGAGAGACTGTCACAGTGGGACGCTCAGGCAGGATGGCCAGGGAGCTGGTGCCCCTGCGCTCCAGAGTCTGGTGGCTGCCTCTTGGTCTACCCTGCCTGTCCCACAGGGGCCGTGGCAGCCCACCCCAGCAGCCCACCCGGGTCCTGGGCTCTCAGTGGCTGGGAGCAGCCTCGGGGCTGGCACAGTGACATCTTCACAGCTACAGCTGGGTTTCCTGGTCCTGCCCCAGGCCAGGCCCTCCCTGTGCTCACACACACGCCACTCATCCCCACAGGCTCAGTGTCCCCCATGGGAAGAAGGCAGCTTGATCCTCCTCCTAGGACCTCGCTTTCAGGGCTTCCTCAACTTCCCCTGCCTCATGGGGACCTGGCCTCCGGGCTTCCCCAAGGAGGCCACTGACCCACCCTGGTGTGGAGCAGAGAGGAGGTTCCAAGAGCCTGGGGCCCAGCAGGATGCATGTTGTGGGGAACTGCTGTGATGCCAGGGTCCCCAGGCTTCCCATGCCTTGAGTGGCCCCCAAGCCTTCAGCGCCCCTCACAGCAAGGACAATGGCTCTGGCAACAAAGATGACAGTCCTGCAGACACAGCCTCAGTGTCACCTGGGCCCTGGGCTCCCCAACATGCTGGTCACAATATGCTGTAGTGTCCTGGGGCTGCCATAACAGAGACCTGCGGACTCGAGGGCTGAGAACGGAACCTGGGATTCCAAGGCCCAGGTGTTGGCAGCTGCCCTCCCCCAGGCCCTGGGGAGGATCTGCGCCAGGCCTCATTCCCAACTTCCCGCAGTCCCTTGGCCTTGGCAGCTTCATGCCATCCTTCTGTGGCCCTGTCCCCGCATGTGTGGCTGTCTCTGTGGTCATGTTCCCCAGGTGTAAGGCACAGAAACGTGGGATGTATAGGGTTAGGGCTCCCCTAATGACCTCGCCTTAACCTGTAACAACTTGTTTCTAAATATAGTCACATGCCAAGGGACGTGAGGTTCACAACCTACAGGTTAAGACTTCAACATTCGAATCTGGGAGTGGGGGACACGATTCACCCATCACACGACCCTCCTCTCATCTCCTGGGTCAGCCCTCTGGTCCCGTGTCCACCCAAGGCCATCATCCTATGTCCCCTCAGGCTCCTCCTCTCCTGTTCAGCCAGTAACAGGTTTTCCTTGAGCCAACAATACGGGCCCATACCAGGGACAAGCTGGCAACCTGCTCCCAGGGATTTACGACTGACAGTGACTTGGTCAGTCTGTTCTTCTGTCACTTGTTCAAGCATTTCCTGAGCCACATGTGACAGGCACCAAATCCCACGTCTCCAAATCCCATGGCCTCTCAGACCCCAGGCAAGACACAGGGCGCAGGATCCTTGTCCTGGAGAGGGCCTCTAGTCTGAGCTGCAGAGCTCCTCCCGTCTCTGGGACCTTGGTCTCTGGGGTGTGGAGGGGCTGCGTTGCAGGGGGGCTGGGAGGTGAGGGAGGGCCTTCCCACACGGGGTCCCTCCCCAGATCCTCCTGAAGAACATGAACACTGGCGATCTGACCATGTTCTACTACGGAGACTGGCTGTCCCAGCGGAAGGGCAAGAAGACCCTGGTGTGCGAAATGTGCGCTGTCATCGACGAGGAGGAGATGATGGAGTGGACGTCCTACACCGTCACCGTGAAGACCAGCAACATCCTGGGTGGGCTGGGGCCCCTCCCAACTCCCGCTGCCCTTGTCCTCACCTGAAAGTTTTGGCTCAGGACCTTGTTTCCAGGCGGGCAGTCTTTTCTTCAGATGGCCTTCCAAAAGCGAGTCAATCCAAGTCACTTCCACAGTCGGTCACTTTCTGCCTAGACAAAATAGTTCCTTCCACTGACAGAATGGGTCCCTTCCCTGCTCCCTCAGGGAAGTAGAGGAGAACATTTGTGTGTGGGTGGGGGGTGAGGGGTGGGGGTATGGCCCATGATTTTGAAAAGCCGGACCCACAGCCTGCTATTGGCCTGCTGTGGACTGGTGCCCCTCACCCAGGTGCTTTGCATCTCGGGGACCTGGGGCACCCTTTCACATTCATGTGCTTGGTGGCTATCCCCTGTGTGCTGGCTTTGGCCTTGAGTCTTAGGACAGAGGACAGAGGTGTGATTCTCAGGGACCTCATAGGTCTGACGCTACTGGGGAACTCAGAGGGGGACACCTTACCTACCTGGGCATCAGGGATGAGGTCATGGGGACTTCCCAAGGGTGATGCCAAAGTCAGGTCCAGAAACACGAACAGAAGTCACTGAGGTAGATGGGACATTCAGAGCCTTCTAAGCAAAAGTACTAGCATGTCAAAAATGGAGGTGACAAGGACCAGACTCTGACCTAGCTATGGAGGCAACACCTCCTACCTCCCCTCCCCTGTGCCAAGCCCACTCTCCAGGAGCTGTTGCAAGGAATTGGGCAAATTCATTCACATTGATTCTAAGTGACTATGGAGGATGAATGTGGTGGCCATGGTAGCTTACATTTTCAACAGAGAAGCCTTTAGGCAAAGAAGTGAAGCTCTCGTAGTAGAATTGTGGCATAAATGATGGGCAGATAAATCTGATCAAATTTGTTCAGGGTACCTCCCTTCTCCCTCTGCTCCTCACAATGAAGACTTTATCCTTATGGCTTGAAGTTCCAAGTGGCCACATGTTTTCAAGGCCCTCTATGCCTTTAGAATGTTCCAGAAAAGCTTCACCGAGCCACCTCTTCCAGAAGCACTTGCTTTTGGACTGGGGTCAAAACCTTTATCCAGCTTAAGCAAATGATATGAAGCTCCAGTGGAAATGTCAAAAGTAGATTTAAGGAGTGCAGAACTTTCTTCTGAATCCACACCATACAGGCGGCAGCTTATATTTTTAACTGCAGATCCAGTCTATATGGCGTGCCTTTTAAGTTTGGGAGCACTTCCCAGAAATAGATGCATTTCTGTCCAAAATATTCACAGTTACTATGACTGCAGTTAGACCAGAAGCCTATACAAGACACAAAGAGAAGGCAAAACACAGAACTGGAGACCGGGGAGTTCTAGGACTCTTACCAGTCCTTTCTGACCTCCCCCTTGGTCCTGCCACCTCTGAACTCTGTCCATCTACATGCCTTGATCCTCTGAGGAGACCAGGAGCAAAGCCAGGGCAAGGGCATGGTATGTCCCAGAGACTGGTACCCAGAGCCTCACCTTGCACTCTCTCCAGGAGCAGGCACGGATGCCAACGTGTTCATCATCATCTTCGGGGAGAACGGGGACAGCGGAACCCTGGCCCTGAAGCAGTCGGCCAACTGGAACAAGTTTGAGCGGAACAACACAGACACCTTCAACTTCTCTGACATGCTGAGCTTGGGTCACCTCTGCAAGCTGAGGGTCTGGCATGACAACAAAGGTAGCTCCCCTTCAAGGTCAGGGTTGTGGGAAGGGCAGCCCTTGGCTCCCTGCAGCACGGGAGGCCTTCCTTGCCTGCCTGGCAGCTCCATCACTCCAGCAGCCCAGCAGGCAATGCAAGGCGGGGAATCATGCCATTTGACGCTCCCATCAGTGGGTGCCAGTGGGTGTCTTTCTATGCATTGGAAAGGAAGCTTAGCTCCTCCTGAATTCTCCCTGGGTGGTTACTGGGCCTTCATGCTCTGTGCAAGTTCAGAGCATGAATTCTACTTGGTTTACACATAACAATTTTTTTTTTTTTTAAATCTGGTTGGGCCAGTCGTGCATGCCTGTAATCCCATCAACTTGGGAGGCTGAGGCAGTTCCAAGCCAACCTCAGCAACTTAGTGAGGCCCTGAGCAACTTAGTGAGAATCTATCTCAAAAACAAACAAATAAAGTATGTAGCTCAGAAGTAGAGCATTTGCCTGGCATGTGAGAGACCCTGGGTTCCATACCTAGCACTGTCAAAAAAAAAAAAAAAACAGAGAGAGAGAGAGAGAAAAAAAAAAAACATAGAGGAATAGAAGAGCTATCTCACCAAATTTACTTCCCACAGATTTCATAGTGAGCCTAAAAGTGGCTAAGTTCACTTGTAAATATAAACTGGAATAGAATATAAATTAAGTGAGAAGTTTATTTTTTAACTGCAAAGTACCAAGGGAATAATTTGTCACCTCTGGAACTGTGGTGATGTTCATGACTTCAGCATTTCTTTGGTTATCACTGGCTGTCTTCAGGTCTATTTTCTCTGTCTTAGGAGTAAGTTCTATTATGTGTTAGAGTCAAATGGTTCATTGTTAAACTTCCCCTCCTCAGTGCATCCTGCTTTCCTAACTCGTCCCTCTTGCCTGGCTTTGAACCCAGCCTCGGCCCAGCTGTCTGCTCAAGACCTCTAGCCTTTGCTAGGTCTTCCCCTTCCTGTCTCTGGAGCTGTCCTGGTGCTGCGTTTCTCCCCACCTCTTCCACCTCTGCCCATTCAAATGCCCACCTCAGACAGGCCCGTCCATCATGGCCACCGATGAAACCCAACTCAGCAGTCGGTGACCTCTTTTTCCTACACGAGTCCCACTGTTTGGCTTCAACATGGGTTAAACAGTTAAAATGCTTCCCACAACATGGACCAGGCTCAAATTAGACACAGATAAAATAGCTATTCTTTGAAGCAATAAAATAATGGGTGTCTTCACAAACTTCACAGTTTCCCTATTGCCTGCATCCATTCGGTTATTCATGTACCAAACATCTGAAATGTTCCCCAGATGCCTAGAACTCTGGGAGGTACGAAAGATACTCATATTTGATCTTTAAAATCACTTTGTGAATTTTTGCAACAAAAGCACTTTATTGTCCCTCTTTTCTACAACCAATGAATATGGAGGCTCCAGGGTTTGAAATGTCACCAACGCTCAACTGCAGGTCTTCTGTGCCTGTTCTGACCTGCCACACTGTGTGCCAGCCCGTCCTGTCGGTCACAGTTCTGCACCTTGGCCTGCCACTGTGGCAGATGCTCAGAAAAGAAGATGGGGAACAGCTTCCTCTACTCTCTTCGCTATGCTCCCAATGTCTTTATCAGGGTGCCTGGGGGAGCCCTATCCAGGAAAATGTGTAGTAGCAAGGATCCCTTCTTCTCCACCTGCCCAATCAAATGGCATCAAGAATTTTTGGAAAGGAATGTACCAATAAAATGTTCTCAGATACCCATAATGAATCCTCTTTCCCAAGAAGGAAACAAAGACCCTTCCCACCATCCGTCATGATGGTTTTAGGACCAGTTGTGGGATGGCTGGAGGTTGAATGATTGATGAATAAAATCATCCTAATCAAGAAGATTATGTTCCACTGCAGACACTTCACAAGATCAGGGGAGCCCGAGACACTCAACAGGGGGTCCCTCAGTGAGGACAAATGGAAAAGCACTGAGGCCCCTGTGTGTATATCCACAGGGCTAGAGAGACCTGACAGGTCAGATGAGCAGGGCCAGTGGAGACTGGGGACAGGAGCACAGTAGAGAGCAGATCAGGGACTCAGTAAATGTTAATATCTCCCCAACCAGGAGAGGGCTAAGCAATACATGTGCCTTTTAGCCCTGTCCTGCCACAACCTATAGCTCAGAAGCAACAGAACCAGAGACTAGAACCCCGAGAAAGAAGAAGCAGTATTCACAGGCTGCCTAAGCCTTCCTCCAGGGCCCAAGCACACACAAGATGTAAGATCTCCCGAACCATCTCCCAACCACTTTTTACAGAAAAGTGGGCAGGGAAGAATTTCTTGTAGATTAGGATGATCTCCATTTTCCAACGGGAAGATAATGCCAGGCCCATTCATAATGTATGTTCCCTTCATAGAGGTGGTAAGGGTGATGGGGATGTCTGTTTGGGAGAAACACAGGCTGTCCTGTGGATGTGTGGATCTATTCGAGGTCCTGAACCCTCTTCTGGCTTCTGTTGACTCTGGACTCCAGGGTGCTTGCCTTGGAGTCTGACTATTTTCAATCTAGCCTGCAGTAGATACCTAGATGCTTGGCAAGAAGGTCAAGATTACCATGCATCATACCCTCAATCAATAGCATAAAAGGCAGAGGGTTTCTTCTGGAAGATCAGGGCTCATCTCTGTCTTCTGCCTACAAAGGCCACTCTTTCCAGTATATTTTATCCAATCCTGAGCCCACCTAAATGAGCCTTTGGCTTCTTGGATGATTTCTCCTGGGGCTGCCCCACCTTCAATACCTGCCCTCACCTTCCTTCTCAGTCTGTGTCTCACGAAGAACTTCTACGGTCCTCTCGTGCATTCCTGCCTCCATGTCATACCCTTCCTTCCAATCTAGGAAAGTGGAGGTTCAAGTACTCCAAAGGAATGTTCAAAGGCTCATGCAGAACATTTCTGGAGGTACGTACAGTGTTTGTTTCCAGTGATGTTTAAGTTTCCTCCTTTCTTTTTTCTCTCCTCCTACCTAAGATGATGTCTCTCTTGGACAAAATGAGGGATTCAGGTCCTTTACTACTTCAGCCCTAACAGTCCTACACATTAGATCGATCTACACATTAGATCAATGTGTAACCTTGTTTTTATGTGTATTTCTGTTTACAAACCTCTTACTCAATATACATTGTTTATTCCGAAACAGTGAACTCACAACCAATAACACTCTAATTCATCCCGGAATGAAGTTTACTAACAGGTTCTCTTGGGGGGAGGGGTATATAGAACATCATACACCTCTTACATTTAGAAACACTGAATAGCACTTTAGCCTGGGGCCTACACATGATGTTTGGAGGCTATTTTTATTCAATGAATTCACTACAAAAAGCACAAAAATGTGAAAACCATGGTGTTAAGCAGGAAAAAGACACTTGCTTACAATGTAAGAGCTAGAACAAAAAGAAAGTATATCCCCGTCCAGCCTCATCAGGGAACATGTGCATGGGGTGGCTCAGTTTTCACCACTCCGCACACGTTCAGGGAAATCATGTAAGTATTAATTTGGAGTATTAAATAATTTTAGCAAATAGGCAATTTCACAGAGATGTAACATGCAAATAATAAGGACCAACTGTATGTATTGAGCACTTACTGTCAGGCATTATGTTCAGTGGTTGGCACAGTGCAGTACACAGCAGACAAGGCTCCTGTCAGCTTGCTATGAGCTTGTAGCAAAAAAGCACATTCATTACCTGACAAGAACAACTGAGAAAAGGAAAAGTTTATTTTGGGCTTATGATTTCAGAGGTTTCATACCTGGTCAGTTGATTCTATTGCTCTGGGACCAAGGTGATGCTGGAACATCATGGCGGAAGGGTGTGGCAGAGGAAAGCTACTCAGCTCATGCACCCAGAAAGCAGAAAGAGACAGCAAGGAGCCAGGGACAAAATACAATTCCCAAGGGCACCCTCTCATTGACATACTTCCTCCATCACACCCCACCTGCCTGCAGTTACCACCCAATAATCCATTTTAATTATTAATCCATCAAATGGATTAATCTACTGATTAGATTCCAGCTTTTAGTCACCAAATTATGTCACCTCTGAACATTCGTTCATTGTCTATCACATAAGCTTGTTGGAGGACACCTCTAGTGAGCTAGAGCAGATTCCTGAGAATTACAGAATTTGAGGTAATAAAAGGGAAGGAAGAAGATGAGGGATGAGATTATCCCTACCGTTTGCACTTCAAAGCCAGAATGAGTTTGGAGAGGAAGACCTCATCTGGGGAATTCTGTAATGCTGAGAATTTTTCACCCACCATGAAAACCCAAGCTATGGTATGTTGGTTCCTGACTCTAAAATTTCCTGGACATAAATATAATAGAGGAAACATGTAGCCAAAATTGGTTTCAAATAGCAAAGCAAATAAAAAAACATTTAAAATGTTTATTTCTCCCTAGCCAATTCTCAGAGTCTCTTGATGAGAAGTTTTGTTACACAGCCAACCGTCCAAGTCACTGTACTGGAGAGAATGGAGGAGGAGATAAACAGCCTTCTGTCATTCAAGGATGCATGTTTATTAGACAAAAATGTTCTTCACATCCTCCTAAGAACTGGCCCCAACACATACATTAAAAAAAATGTCAGGGAACCTTTCTCACCTAATCTCACTCTCTCTGCTTTCAGTTTCTTTTTAGACTGTGGAATAACCTCTTATTCCTGATTATTTCAATCCATCCAGAGAATGGTGTAGTACATTTGTGTTTGAGAATAAGGACTCTTTAAGAATAATTACTTCCATTCAAAAAGATTTTATCTTTTCTTCACTATCTTCTCTTTAATAGCTCTATGAACTTTGAGGTCAGTCCTTGTTTAAATTTCACCTTGCGTGAAATCACTTACATTTATTGGGCAAGCTAGCAGTCAGTCATAAGTAGATACCCAAGAGATATTTTTGCACCTGCAATTCTCTTTTACTAAATCCTGATAAATCCTTCAGAATCCAAATTAACTCTTACCTTCTTCACGAAGTT